GCTCAAATATACTTGCATACATATATACATGCATACAGCTGTAGGTTTCAAAGGAATCTTGGGCAACTGCGTAATAATTAAGATCCTAAACAAACATAACTACATATATACACACATACATATGCGAGCAAATATTACAATGCTATAAAATCACATAAAACTAACTGACAGCAATCTTAAACCGTTGCTTGCCAGCAAACGTTGACAGCGCTGAAATGATGTCTTGCAAAACAATAGAAATGCTAATAAAGCCGCCAAATGTTGCCGCTGGTTTTTGCTGGAAAAAAAAGCTGAGCGAGATAAATCCAGAGCATCTTTTTGATGGAAACCTAAGCAGTCGGCTGCAAATAATTACTAAGTATTTTCACATAAATAATACATTTACTATTTATATAAATACATATATATGTGTGTAGCTATGTATCTACATGTAAGCATGTATGCTGCCCACATTATGTATGTGCTAATTATAATTAATTTATTTATGATGCGCTCATGTCAATGTCGGCTTACCCAGTAGGAACATTTGTAAATATGCGCACAGCTTGTCTTTAATGGCACTTAAGCGCAGTTACAATACACACAAACATACGTTGCAACAATAGTAATATATGTACTAATATATACACATATGCATGTATGTATGTTTACCCATTTGAGTTCATGTAATTAATTACATAATGGCAGAGCCTGTGAAAATCTCGCCAGCCTGATCTAATTACATAGTTATTATTATACAAATATTCACATTCCCAACGGAATGCATTGCTTTTGTTTGTAGATGACAGCAGTCAATTACCGGCACACACACAGAGTTGTAAAAGTTCATATCCAGCTGTGCGTAATTCATGCATACTCGTACGAGTACATACATATGTACATACATATTTACTCGCATATCCAACAACAAGTTTACATAAATTTAGATTGCAACAAGTGTCATAGATACTGAGTTTTATAATAATACATATATGTATTTAAAAACTTAGTATTTTAGTATATACATACATACAGGTATACAATATAGTATCTATGTATATATGCACATATGTATGTTGCATGTTGCTTCATGCCACCGGGAGTTCGTGTACTTGCTATGCGGAAGGGATTTTTCATAAGTATTTTGATTGTTTTTACTCTGTTATGTTTGCATTGTTTTGTTCTGCGATTAATTTGAAAGATAATCTGCTTTTCAGAAATGGCCTCCTGAGCATCTAAGGTGTCTGAGAAGGTTTTATTGAGATAAATGGTTACATAAGTAATTACGCGGTTGGTGGTGGCGCTGAAATCGATTCGGTGAGAAAGAAGACAAATTGAATATTTGATGCGGATTTTTACGTAACCAACTGAAAAATATTTTCTTTTTTCAAGAACAATCCTTTATGTACTACACAGCGTTGCTTAGAAAACCAAATAACGATGTATTAATTTTCTTGTTTATAAACTAAACTTGAAAAAAAAATAAAATATGGCTCAATTCAATCACAATCTTTCACCCCCTTAAAGTCGGTAATTAATAATCAATCCCCTTGAAACACCCTCTGCTCTGCTTCTGTTTGCAGCGTCTACAAAAAAGTTCACCTTTCTAAAAGAAAACTGCTATATCTACGGTGACCATCCGTCCTGTATTATACGGGACAGTTCTCTTTTTTGACCAGTTGTCCTGGCAATTAATTTATTTTATACGGGTCGCCAAATGTCCTGTATTTCTTTTAATGTCCTGAATTTTTCCCGTATTCGGGGTTCAGTATTTCGACGCCTTCAAATCTCATTAAAATTGCATGTCTATGAACCAGTTTTAAATGATTTTGGAATATGATCGTACCTTTCTCCATTATCAGTTATTATTTTCTAATCTGAATGTCTGTAATTCGAATCAAGGAACACATACAGTGACTAAGATATATATAAAGATTCCACATTTTAGCATGGTTCGGCTATTTTTCTTTTGTTTATTTAATTTTTGCTATTTTTTATTTTGTTTGAGTAAAGCTCTTTTCCTAACAAAAACCACATAAATTCAAATTTCCGACTTTGTGCAAAAACTATGAGAATTAAGTCTGCAAATTTTCACCAAAATTTCACACTTTTTAATCAGAATCTTTAGAAAAAAAATTTGGTTGCAGTTTTGTAGCTCATTAAAATTAAATATAACAAAGTGCAAGTGCGACGTGCTGCTCATTTGCTTCCCTATCAATAAATTGTCGAAACATATTAACTTTGTATAGAAAAAATGCGTAGCACCGTCGGCAAAAAAAAAATGCCAAAAATTAGCGGTAAGTTCTAGCTACTTAAGCTTGCACTTTATCGTACTAAAATTTACCAAAACTTTTTTAAAAAATTTTGTAGAGTAAAACTCTCCGGATAGATTTCGTACTATAAGGATGCTGTTTCAGGACTAATACATACATCTAAGATCATTTAATAATGTGTTAAGACCTGTTAGCTTTTATGGAAAAAAATTATTTTTTGTCCCGTATGCGGCTCGCATAAATATGTATCTACTTAGATGAAAAACTAAAATTCCCTTATTTCAACTTTCAACAAAGTCGCTCTCAAATGCAGTGAAATATTTGGGCATAATTTTTAAACGAACCTGACCTGGCAACGTAACGTAGTGGAGCAGTCGTACGTGCTATAATCTTCCATGGAACCACTGTCTAGTGGACATCACTGGACAAGGCGCTCACTAATTCTAACTCACACAGGTTCAAAGGCGACTTGCATGCCAATAACCGTAGCGGTGCATCCACACCAACTAAAGTTCTATTTGCAAAGCTTCAGGCAAAGTACAATGCAGTGAGATAAAACGCACTACCAAAATGGAAAGACCTCAGCTTCTCTCATTCGTACCAACTAGTCCGATACATTTCTCTCCCCAGGCTACACATCACTCACTACCTATCAAACTTTTGAACAAGTTCTTCACCTGTATTTCTTCACCTGTATTTCACCTTCGAAGAAGGATTGGGAGAACGATTTGGTCTGAGGCCTCGCAGGTAAACCGCAGCCACGTAGCTGCGATATACTAGCAACATTATGTGGGTCCTAGGTCACAGAGACACACAAAGTAACTGTACAGAACGAGCTTGCAAGAAAGAAAATTACCTTGTCTGACGTCAACCGCTTTCACGATGCGCGCATACCACCTATCAAACTTACTATACCTATACTTATTCGAGAACGAAAATAAAATATGGTCGGAAGAAGGCACGTGTGGAACGACTAGACAAATCTGGTCCAGCTGCGATAAGAATAGAACCGAAGCATTCATTCAGTTAGAACGCCCTTTACTAAGGCAAGTGACCGGTATTATAACGGGTTCTGCTTCTAGGTGAATGAACGAGATCATATACGAACTCTCAATTGTTATCACAACGGGCGGCCCACTGGATCTAAGTATGCATCTCTCCAACTCTGGATACAGGCAGCCGATTCCTCTTCAGATTCGGATTCACTAAACAAGCGGGACAAAATTTAAAGTCATGCGAATAGCGTCAAAATGTCATGGTTTGCTTCTTAATATAAAAGATAATAGTAACGAACTTTTACTAATAAAAGAATATTAATTATTAATAATTAACCTTTTAAAAAGTGTAACGGTGCGTCTGTTGAAAATTGTTTGTTGCTGAAGGCAAGTTATTACTGGCAATTAAAAGATTATTTCATAATTTCTAAAATTTAGTAAGTGAATTTTAGATAGCTCTATAAGTTCAACGTAAAATAGTTCTGCTGAGTTTCTTATTCTGTGAAGTGTTGGCTTTAAGGTAAATTATACTCCTTTTACGCGCTTTTGCGAGGCCCATACAATTATTTTCACTTTTCAGAAACTCCAGAGTAACAAGTTTTGACCGAATTCAATACATTTTTAAAGTTATTTTGCCATATTGGAACCGCAATTTTTAATTTATAAATTTATGGTCAGATTCATCATCAGCGACTCCAAATACCCCTAAGTAACAATTTTCGAGNGCCCCATTAACTAGTAGATGCGATGTGGTGTAAAAATGCATTAACGTCAATCTATTAAAATAGTTTTTTTCCGGCTAGTTTCTCTATTCAGACCACTGTGCAGCGGAGCGACACAGCTTGGACAGAAAGATGCCTTTTCTCAGTTAAAAAAGTGGTTTTCGTACGCTTTGTGCAACTTGCTGCCATCTAGCAAATAAACTTAGTCACTTCTTTATTGGAGATTTCCATTTTTTAATTACTTTGCATTTTTGCGTTACCTTTTTGCATCATTAATAGTATACTAGTAGTGACTACAGAAAATAAACATGTCGATAAAATTTTAACGACCGGATATATTATTGACAAAGTAATCACAGCTTCCCAGTGGTTTATCCGTTTTAACGCTCCCAGCGTCCAGCGACCAGCATGACCAGTAGTCTTGAATTTAACAAAGCTGAATAACTGTATGCCAGGTTCCATTCCATATAAATGTAGACATAGTGTAGCCTTAAGCGGATTTTTCTCACGATTTTAATTGGTTTAGTAAAAAGTGTAAAAAACTGCTTTCTGTGCCAGATATAACAACAAATAAAAGCGGCAATGCCAACACTTTTTCACGGAAGAGTGAAAAATATGTAAAAAATTCTAGACACAATTTCAACGCGCTAAACGAGTGCTTGTTTAGGAAAAAATCATTTAGCCAGAGTGATGCAAACATGTGCTCATATACTTATTTATGTACGTGTGCATGTGTTTGTGTAAGCCTCGTTTTTTGCACTCTCCGCATTATCCATTAAAGTTTGTCTCTCTACGATTTAATTAGACGAAGCGGCTTGTTCGCACTGTGCCACTTATGGTTGTTAACAAGTGAAGACACACTTCCAACCACACATACCATCATATGCAGTTATATTTACACATATGTATATAGAAGCGCACACATATCAATTGCACCATTACTTTATTTGTAATAATTTTTCTACTTAAGGCGCAACTAATGATTACCTTTTTCTTGCGCTTGCTCTTCTCTTTACAGAATCTTCTAGCAAGCCAATAACGGCGTCAACAAAGCAGCGATAACAAGAAAACTTTTAAATACCACAAGCGCACTTGCTGCAAACAATCAATAGCGGCAACATGTTTTTGCGTCGTTGCACAATTTACCTCATCGTTTTTCTGCTGGTTGCAAGCACTGCATCCGCGGCACGTAAAACCAAACGTCCGGTTAAGCCAGCCAAGACATTTCCCCGCACCAATGTGACACCTGCGCCAGCAGCTGCATTGGCAGCAGCAGCAGCAGTTGGTGCAGCAGCTGGAGCCGGTGCTGGTGGTATTGCCGCCGGTGTTGCCGGTGGTGCAGCAGCAGCTCAACAGTCAGTAGCCGCTACTACCGCCGCTTCATCCAGTCTCACAAGCACAACAACACATGCGCCTAGTATTGCCGTTGCGACGAGCAGCACTACAGCTACACCAACACAAATTGGCAGCGGGAATTATGCCGCTAGCGCTGCTGGCGATGACAGCACCGGAAGCGAAGGCTATACAGTGGGCAATGAGCTGCCCAAACCAATGACACCATTGTCGGAAGCGAGCACCGGTACCACAGGCGCTGCAGCATCGTCGACTTCGGCTGAGGCCAAAACAGAGCGACCCTCAGCTACTTTGTTGCCCATTGAGGAGGAATGCGACCCGGATATGATTGGATTTGAAATTATCACTGGGTGAGTACAGAAATGTTTGAGAGGCGGCAAGAGGAATGGAGTGTTAAGGACGGATATTAATGTTGGATTGTGCTCACTGAAGCAATCAAAAATGATAGTAAAATCACAATTCAAAATTTTTTATGCGAAATGCTAATGGGTTCGGTGCAACTGTAACTCGACAGTGGTAATAAAATCTTGTCGTAGGCTGCAGAAGTAGTAATACAAATAAACATATAAATAAAATAAAGAAACAAAGTAGGTAGGTAAATATGTGTGTGCCTATTTGTATGTATGCATAATCTAAGTTTGATAGGTATGTAAATGCGATATGTTTAGAATCTTATTTTGAAATATTTTTGAGTAAAATCCTAAACCGTTCGACTGCGGCCCTGCTACACGATATACGGTTTAACGTTATGATTAGGGAAGACAAAAATATGCACAAAAATCCCAATTATATGATCATTAAAATGACTAAAAGTGTAAAAAATACGCTTGATATATGCCCCAAAAATGTATATTTATAACGAAATTTTTTTTGATTTTCGCATAAAAAGTTTTTGTACATATATGTATATATCGATGGTCCTCTGCAATAACGGCACAACTCAAAATTCCATGTTTTTGAGTTATATAGCGAACTAGGTTTATAAATAACCATATTTTGCGTGTGGCAAATCGACATAGGCTTAGTTGTTACCTATCCGGCAGAAGCGCAGTTTAGCCATTTGTCACAAAACTGAAGTAGCCAACCCTTACCACTGAACAGTGGCACATATATCACATTTATCGTGAATGTTGACATAAGTCGATACTCTGGATAGGTTAGTCATGCTTTTATGTGAACTAACGACACTTTTCGTTTTGTGCCGTTGTTCAGCAATAGGTGCAAATGGAATTTTTTTCGTTGAACTACTTACAAGTTGTGAGCTATTTCGTATTTTTGCAGTCCAATACTTCCTAAGTCTTTACAAAAGATTATAAATTGAAAGCTTACAAATTTCCCCTACAGAATCACTGCAAATAATCCGGAATAATTACGCTCCCAGACATATTCTTGCTTAATTACGAAACACAAAATCTTTAACTGGCTATATATTAACTGGAAATATATGAAATTTAGAGTTGTGTCGTTATTGCAGAGAACCATCGATATTAATTGAAAATGAACGCTCTATGTCACAAGACATTATTAGGCAGAATTTAAAAGATGAAAATTTTGCAGGTGAAAATATTGCAACATATTATTGATGTGTTGCTTCACTCAAAATATTTTTGTTGCTAATATTGAGAAGTTACAATAGATGCAGAATAAAACTCTCTGCTCAGTTCGCAACACACCTGGAAACTGTTAAACAGCTTTCACGAAAAACAAAAAATTTTCGTTGAATTATTCAACCATCAAAACTGGTTTAGGCAAAACTTCACTATTCGTAAACGATAGTCGTAAAATGTTTACGAGTATATTAAAATTGTTTACTATAAAATAATTTAATAATAATCACTAAACAACCCTCGTCAACAACCCTGGATATCTCGGCAAAGATATTGTCAGATGAAATTATGCGAAAATTAATTAAATTGTATGCTTTTTCGTCAAAATCGGTATTTTTTGGCATAATATGCGTTTGCATATTTTTGTCTTCCCAAGTTATGATGCATATTTGGTTGTTTCGCTGACCTGGACTCGAACCTCGGTCCTGACGGATCAAAGTAAGCACCTCTGACCACTTTATAAGGGTAGTCGTCTTTGCAAAAACAAAAATCCAATAGATTATTTATTTCGTGGTCATAGTAGTTAGATAATATTTTTTTCTGTATTGTCAGAACTATTTAACACAAAGCAACACGTGCAGAAAGATAAGAATTTAGTTAGAAAATTATCCAAATAAAATTACATTTATATGTAATAAAACGAAAATGCGTACTTTAGTATGTAAATATGTACGTATGTATGTATGTTGAGTTGTAACTAGTCAGGAAAAATTTTAATTCCGCTTTGCGGCAGGTGGCTAAAGTTGAATGTGCAGAATTCTAGAAGCACACACATCTAGTTTATTTTTCAGGGCCTGCGTAGGAATTAGGTATTTATCTATTGGATTTTTTTCTTCGTTTTCTTTTTTTTTTTGTAAAATAGTCGATGCACTTTGCGTAGGAACGCCCGAAAACTTACATCAAAAACTTATGCAGCAAAAGGAAGCAACGGTAATGGACAAGAGCTTAAATCAAACATCTTTCATTAAAATGCAATAAACAGCTATATCCATCAGCCATCAGCTATAGCGGCCAGAGGTGTACGTATTTTCACCCGACAGGACATAGGCTTCATGCCTACTCAGAGCGACATGAAAAATAAAAATCTTTATCTGAAAGTAGTCCCACAATTCGGCAGACTTTGGCAAACTTCTGATAAAAGCCATTCGTTCTTCGGATTTGGCGAAAAATTGTATGTCCCTCCATTTATCTACATATTGGCATCATTTACATTTACCTAAGCGTGGCTGGGGGCGACTGTTTCAATCATTTTGATAGAACGACTTGAATTTGGAGAAACGAAACCAATTCTTATCGAGTGGCATAGTATGCACCTCTGGCAGCTCAGCTATGACGCTCGCCTAATGTGAGCGCAAAAAAAAAATTGTATTATACTTGCCGCAATGCATATAAGCAATATTTTTTTCATTATTATGCGGCAACACAATTTTCATAGCAGAAGTGTAGCTTTTTTGCACATTACATAATAACGCGTAATAACCCAATTTACTATAAGAGAAAATCGGTGTTCACATCACATGTGTTTGTAATATATGTGCATATGATATGCAAACTTTTTTCTTGATTCTAATACATTCAATTCGTAACGCATACATTCTGTTATTTCAGCGTCTAGTTTGTAGATGCATATGCTTCACTCTAGTTTGCTTACCAACCAAACTCATGACATTCTTCTTGTTTTCTAATTTTACCCCGTTCTTCTCTCTATTTATTGCAGTTATGTTCTCTCGGCGCCAACTAAATTACTTGACACGCTGCCCGGCATACTGATGCTGACTGATTGCTTAGAGGCATGCCAGGTGAACGAATCATGCAGTGCAGTTAATTACGAGACCGGTCTCTGTGTTTTATTCAAAACTACCGCTGATATATTGCCAGGTAAGTGGGTAAGCGGATTCTGCGGCACCAACGCCGCAGCGTCGCCAACGTCATAATATTTATAAATGTGGCTTTTACATATTGTACATATGTATGTATATGCATGCATTAGCATGTATGTACGTTCGTATGTATGTACATAAGAGCAGCTTAGCGGTACAGCGGTATATTGTAGGCCGTCAAACTGGTATATTTGTAGCGCATTCTAGTGTGATCACTGTGCGCCCGCGAGTGCCATGCAATCGATAGTTCAACAGAATGCGCAAAGTATTGCATTTCATCGTAGTAAAACGAAACGGAAAAAAATACTGGCAAAAAACAAAAGACTCCGGTCGCGAACTCGCTTCGAAAAATCATAACAAAGTTGTTGTAAAAAATATTATTTGCCTCATTTTTCATTGGCTTTGCTTGCTTGCTTGCCGCTATGCGCCATCCGCTGCTAAACTGTAGTAAATTGATTGTGGTAAATTGTATATGCTGTGTTGTATAATCGGCGACGCGCTCAACGTGCGCGTACACACCTACTTTTTACGCATAAAATTATGTGCTGCCACTTTATGAGGCCATGCTGGTAAATAGTAGGCAGCAAAGGCAGCGTGTAGCATGCAACAGGCAGTGTGCAGCGGCCAACAACAGGTTTTGTATTTCAGCGCTGCATTCCTCCTGTACGTCAAGCCCACCTCGCCATCTCCTTGATATTGTTTTTTGTTTTTTTTTTCAACTGGCTTATTTGTTGGACTTTTTTTTAGCGAATATTTATTTTATTTTCACCTCGCAGTCGATACATAGGCCTAACGCACAATTTTTGCGCCTTTTTTTTTGCCGCGCCTGTTATGTAGCTGGCAGGTGCTAGTTTGTCCAGCCACCAGCCACTCGAATCTTTCGCATACACGCGCTGCCGATTTC